TTGTTTTCCCATATAAGTCATTACAGAGATTATTGAATATAGTTCCCTGTGCTATGCAGTAGGTCCTAGTTGCTCATCTTTTTTATATATAGTAGTGTGTATATGTCAATCCCAATCTCCCAGTTTATCCCTCCCCCCCTCTTTTCCCCTTGGTAACCACAAGTTTGTTTTGACTCTATTTCTGTCTGTGACTCTATTTCTGTCTTGTAAATAAGTTCATTTGTACCATTTTTTAGATTTCATGTATAAGTGATATCATATGATATTTGTCTTTCTCTCTCTGACTTACTTCACTCAGTATGACAATCTCTAGGTCCACCATGTCACTGTAAACGGCATTATTTTGCTCTTTTTTGTGGCTAATATTCCATTGTATATATGTACCACATCTTCTTTATCCATTGATCCATTGATGGACATTTTAGGTTGCTTCCATGTGCTGGCTATTGAAAATAATGCTACAATGAACTTTGGGGTGCACGTATCTTTTCGAATTATGGTTTTCTCCAGATATATGCCCAGGATTGGGATTGCTGGATCATATGGTAGCTCTATTTTTAGTTTAGCCACTGTTACCCATAGTGGCTGTACCAGTTTACATTCCCACCAACAGTGTAGGAGGGTTCCCTTTTCTCCACATCCTCTACAGCATTTATTGTTTGTAGATTTTTTGATGATGGCCATTCTAACTTGTGTGAGGTGGTACCTCATTGTAGTTTTGATTTGCATTTCTCTAATAATTAGTGATGTTGAGCATCTTTTCATGTGCCTCTTGGCCATCTGTATGTCTTCTTTGGAGAAATGTCTATTTAGATCTTCTGTCCACTTTTTGATTGGGGTGTTTGTTTTTTTGATATTGAGCTGCATGAGCAGTTTGTATAATTTGGAGATTAATCCCTTGTCAGTTGCTTCGTTTGCAAATATTTTATCCCATTCTGTGGGTTGTCTTTTCATTTTGTTTATGGTTTCCTTTGCTGTGAAGAAGCTTTTAAGTTTAATTAGGTCCCATTTGTTTATTTTTTTTTTTTATTTTCATTACTCTAGGAGATAGGTCAAGAAAGATCTTGCTGCAATTTTTGTCAGAGAGTGTTCTGCGTATGTTTTCCTCTAAGAGTTTTATAGTATCCGGTCTTACATTTAGGTCTTTAACACATTGTGAGTGTATTTTTGTGTATGTTATAAGAAAATGTTCTAATTTCATTCTTTTACATGTAGCTATCCAGTCTTCCCAGCACCACTTATTGAAGAGACTGTCTTTTCTCCACTCTATATTTTTGCCTCCTTTGCCATAGATTAGGTGACCATAGGTGTGTGGGTTTATCTCTGGACTTTCCTGTTCCATTGATCTATATTTCTGTTTTTGTGCCAGTACCATACTGTTCTGATCACTAGCTCTGTAATATAGTCTGAATTCAGGGCGCCTGATTCCTCCAGCTCCATTTTTCTTTCTCAAGATTGCTTTGGCTGATCAGGGTCTTTTGTGTTTCCATACAAATTGTAAAAATTTTTGTTCTAATTCGGTGAAAAATGCTATTGGTAATTTGATAGGAATTGCACTGAGTCTGTAGATTACTTTGCATAGTATACTCATTTTGACAGTGCTGATCCTTCCAATCCAAGAACATGGTATATCTCTCCACCTGTGTCTTTCATTTCATTCATTGGTATCTTATAGTTTTCTGAACACAGGTCTTTTTCCTCCTTAGGTGAGTTTATTCCTAGGTATTTTATTCTTTTTGTTGCAGTGGTAAATGGGATTGTTTCCTTTCTTTCTTTCTTTTGTTGTTAGCGTATAGGAATGCAAGAGATTTCTGTGTATTAATTTTGTATCCTAAAATGTTAACAAATTCATTGATGAGCTCTAGTAGTTTTCTGGTAGCATCTTTAGGATTTTCTATGTATAGTACCATGTCATCTGCAAACAGTGACAGTTTTACTTCTTCTTGTCCAATTTGGATTCTTTTTACTTCTTTTTCTTCTCCGATTGCCATAGCTAGGACTTCCAAAACTCTGTTGAATAATAGTGGCGAGAGTGGACATCCTTGTCTTTTTTCCTGATCTTAGAGGAAATCCTTTCATTTTTTCACTGTTGAGAATGATGTTTGCTGTGGGCTTGTTGTATATGGCCTTTATTATGTTGAAGTAGCTTCCCTCTATGCCCCCTTTCTGGAGAGTTTTTATCATAAATGTAACAGCCTCTTTCTGAGACAACCCATGATTACCCATGGTGTGCAGTCTCTCACTGCAGTGAGTAACAAACCCAACTTGTTCAACCACAGGTGTGTTCCTGGTAGTCTTTGGCCAGAGAATATTCTATAAGTTGGTTGATTATTTGCTTATGTCCATTCTGGACAATAAATCTGAATTGTACCTCCTTAACCCTGGGCATGGCTTACCAATGCAGCAGCTCTGTCCTTCTCTGACTTCAATTCTTTTCAGAGATTCATTCTTAATGTGTTCATATGCTGAAAAGATTTTAGTCCTTTGAACAGAAAGAGTCACCTTAGAATCTAAAGTGAAAATGTGTATTAGGGTTCTCTAGAGAAACAGAACCAGTTGGATGGATGGATGGGGTACATATTATTATATTAAACATCTAATATTTACTGCATGTTAGGAACTGTGTTAAGTGCTTTACATAAATTAGCTTCTTTTAATCCTGAGACAAGCCTGTGAGGTGGACGCTGTTATCACCCCATTTTATAGATGAGCAAACTGAAACACAGGTGAATTAACTTGCCCAAGATTACACTTTTAAGGTTCAAATTTAAGTTGTCTAACTCCCCACTCTTTGCTTTAACTTTTACATTTTACTGCCTTTGAGATACCTCCTCTATTTCCCAGAATCTAGACAGTAGTAATTCAGAATGCTATTACCTGGAGTAACATATATAACTCTAGGAAGGCAAAATAATAGTTATTAAAATGTTGGCATATTTTATTTTATAGTAAGTGTAATTACCAGCCTCATTCTTCTCAGTTACAATAGTTAATGAGTCCAGTGATCAAATTCTTGAGAGTCAGATACTATCATCATATATAACTACAGGTTTCGGAATGTATGAGCAAATATTGTTAAAAGTGTATTCCTCTGTGTTATCGAGGGTCATTGTAAAGAATCGATATAAATATATAGGAAACTGTCTTCTTTGAATAAGATAGACAGAAGGAATGAGAAATATGTGTAACAGGAGTACTGAGCACAGGTATATTATGATGGTGTCAATTGTAATGAGTGTTTCCCAGTGTTTCCTTGTTGGTAGCAGCTTTTTGGGTATTTATATTGAGAGATACTACTTGATTTGTTGTAGGGTGTTTCACCTCTTCTTTTTTCCAACCATTATTTTCAGTCTCCTATGTTTTCTGTCCATCTTAGTCATGAGGGATTTTATTACTCTCATAGTTTACTTGATGACTCCTTTAATGCTAACTTACCATTCCTTCTACCACTTGTCAGAATTTTTATAATAGTTTAGCCATTTTTTAGCCATTTTTACAACTCTTCAAACCTTTAAGTCTTCTATTAATGTTAGGTAATAAATCAAGAGCTTATTTGAATATCCAGAAATGCATAAAATATTTTGAGTAAGCACTCAGAAAAAGGTATAATCCTTACAAATACTTTTAATAAGCACTATATTCAAAATAAAGCATATGTTTAACATCATTGATACACTGTAGAAATTCTAAGGTTAATATTAAAATAGTAAATATGCAGAAACATAAAATTTATAAACAGATATTACCTTCCTGTCCCTTAATGTCAACTTTATTAATTAAAAGTCATGGTTTAGACATGATTATAGTATGCTTTTCTGTCTGTTATCTGGAGCAATCATGGGAAAACCTATGACCTCCTGAGCCTTGTGGAAATATTTCTCAGCATTTTGTATGTAGAACGTTCATCAGTTCCTACCTAATATCGTTAGGGTTGCAATTCATTTTCACAATCCTTCCATTCCTCCTTATTGCCAAACAGATTCTAAGTCTAATGCTCTGTACCTAAGAAGGGAAGCATATTGTGAAAAAGTGAAGGAAAAAGTTTAGTCATAAGCACCTCAGATGCAAATGTACTATTCTTTTTATAGTATTCACAGAAGGTTAAATACGGACAGAAAAAAAGTATGTGATAATTTAATTAAATAATTCATTTCTTCAGTATTGTATCTCTTATTCTAAACATCTATGACTCTATATATTCATAGAGAAAATTACAAATGTAGGTCGGTTTGGAGAGATGTGTTTGTCTACAGTTTTGACCCGTGAAGAGAATGTATAGCTGAGTCACTCTTGACTATTCTGTGAGGCATCCAGAAAAATCTGTGAAGAGATGGATGAGGTGACAAAACAGATCCTGGTAAAGAAGGGTTTAGGGATTGCTATCACTGAAGCACTAAAGATTAGGTCAGAAATATTTTTGTTCAGGTTCATTCAAGAATCTATCATTTTATTCTGCAGGGGTGCTGGGGGAAATTACAATGTGACCTGCTGCAGAGGAATCTTTTACCCTTGATGGCCTCTGAATAGCTCCTTGTTCTTCAAGGAGCTTAAGCACATCATTGAACTGCCAACATATCCAGACCCAGCTAGCACAGCAGTACTTTGCCATGTCACATTAATATTTTTAGAGGTCTATTATGTGTGTATATGTGCATATGTATGCGTGTATATGTACACCTACACACACATATACTTACTATGTAATAAAATCAAAAGACCAGTAATAACGACTTTCGAACACAGATCTGTAGCTTAAATTTTTCATATAGAGGATCATTGTAAGTTGTTTGTTTATTTTTGGCTGCGTTGGGTCTTCATTGCTGTGCACGGGCTTTCTCTAGTTGCGTCGAGCAGGGGCTACTCTTTGTTGTGGTGCACGGGCTTCTCATTGCGGTGGCTTCTCGTTGTGGAGCATGGGCTCTAGGTGCGAGGGCCTCAGTAGTTGTGGCATATGGGCTTAGTTGCTCCGCAGCATGTGAGATCTTCCCAGACCAGGGCTCGAACCTGTGTCCCCTGCATTGGCAGGAGGATTCTTAACCACTGCACCACCAGGGAAGTCCTGGTGTTTAAACTGTTTAAACATTTATCATTTTAAGTTAAAGTCAAGAATATTTACTTCTGAAATATTTTACATTTTTAATTCTATCAACATAATTTATTAAAATTAGTTTGGAAGTCCAAGCCTATGCTATATGAACCAAACAAAAATAAGCATTGGAAAGCATCTACAAATTATATTACTTTATGGCTTGAAAATTGAAACAAACCAGGCAAACTCTACTCAAATTATGAGTTTTAGTAAAATTGTTTGAAATAAAAAGTAGTATCCAGAAATAGCCATTTAATAACAAAGAGGTCCCATTTCAGAGCAAGAAACTTGTAAAAGACTTAGGAATAAACCTGAGAGATGTTTATGACAAAGTAAGAAAGCTAGAAAGTTTGACTGGAAATTTTACTTGGTAAAGACTTACTTACAAACCGGAGCTATAATAGGAGGATGATTGGTTAGGAATATAAGTTAATTTGTAGCACTAGTTCAATTCTGGCCAAAATCTGAAAAGAATTTTCTTCTTCCTTGACAGAGGCTATTCTAAAATTCATTTGTAAAAATAAGCAATCAGGAAGACCAATTGATATTTTGAAAAGAAGCAGAAATGGGGGAGGTACCTGGCTGCATGTCACTATAAAGCATCAGTAAATAAAGTACAAAGCTAAAGTAGGGTTTCTCAATCGTACTGACACTTGGGCCAGGTAATTCTTTGTTATGGGGACTGTCTTGAAATTTTAAGATGGTTAGCAGCACCCCTGGCCTCTACTCATTAGATGAGTAGTACCTCCTCCTTCAGTTATGATAACCAAAAACATCTCTGGATACTGACCGATATCCCCTGGGGGGCAAAATCATTCCTGGTTGAGAACCACTGAGCTAAAGAACAAAAAATACTATCAGAAATTAATGAAACAGATTTAAAAGTTCAAAAATTGTCCAATTATAGATAAATTTATTTATGATAAAGTAGGCATCACTAGGCAATGAATAAGAAAAATGTTTATGATTGGAATTGTAACAATTTTAAAATAGATTTGCACAATCAGATTTCATACTACACATTAAAATTAACATTGTGAATAGAATTAACTATGTATCTGATCTCTGGGGCAGTGGTTGTTGAAGGAAACCATCTAAAAAGTCTATCATATATAAAAACAAACATCAGTGTTTTGACACAAGTGGCATAATTTAGAAAAAACAAAATTACAGACAAGGAAAAACATTTAAACACATTATAACAGATTTAAGATTAGTATGTATACCAGGGATCAGCAAAGGGCTAGATAATAAATATTTCTGACTTCGTGGGCAGGGCCAGCTTCATGGGCATATGACCTTCACTTGACTTAATGCTCTGTCATTGCCATTTTGAAATTCTTAATAATCTTTTAACAATGGGCTCCACACATTTTCATTTTTTTACCCTTCAAATTATGTAGCCAGTTCTATTTGCAGGCCACATGTTCTCTGTTGAAACTACTCAACTCTGCAGTTGTAGCATAAAAGCAGTCATAGACAATACATGAATGAATGTGGTCATACTTGAATAAAACTTTATTTATAAAAACAGGCAGTGGGCCAGATTTGGCCCCTGAGCCATAGTTTGCCCTTGTCTATACTATACATAAAGTATATAGAAACTGATAAAAAGAAGCATAAATGAATGTCCTACTTCAGTAATTTTCAAAGAAATGATTATTAACAAAAGACAACTGCTGAATTAATACAAACTTAAAATAATGATGAATTTCCATACTGATGAAATCATGGTAAACCTGGTAGCCTCAAAAAGCACTCACAGGGGCATAACTCAGAAAACTTTTTGAAGAATATGTTTGAAGAATTATAAAAAGGCACCTAGCCTTTGCCTCAGTACCTTCACTCCTAGGAATTTATCCCAAGAAATAAGTCAAAATTAGAAAATACTGCATGCATGAAGATGTTTACTAGAGATTTATTGTAAAAAGGTGAAAAACTGAAAACAATATAGATGTGCTACAGTGGAAGCATGCTTAGGTCAAGTATGATGTATTGATTTTTTGAAATAATATATGCACTATCAATAAATATGAGACAGCTACTTGGAAAATGTTTTCAGTATTCTGCTAAGTGAAAAGAGCAGACAAAGTCAGTCAATGCTATGTTTGCAGAAATGTAAAAATTATGCATGGATAATGATAAATTCTGGAAGGAACCAACGAGAGAGCAACTCGAACACAGTCTTTGAGTTCCAGCTCAGGCTAGTGCTGAGCTGGAGTCCTGGGCCTGTGGTGTTCAGCAGGGCCCCATTTGGCATGACTGTGGACAAGTTACTTAACTTCTCTAAGACAATTTCCTTTTCTTCAAAATAGATGTAATAACATTATACTATCTCATGAGGATGTTGCGAGACTTAAGATACATATGGTATATAGCACGGTGCTTTGCACATGGGAAGCTTTCAAATGCTAGCTATTATTACTATTAGCAAAGCATGGGAAATTAAAACAGTTTATTTCATTTTTAGTTCAGTTGTTATGATGTTATTTGTGCAGTTAAAGGAACTTCTAACAGCTGTCTTTTAAAATGTAATGATTAAGCCTACAGCAATCTCAGCAGGTAGCAAACTCAAACTTTTAAAGCAGGGACAATAAAAAGACTATGTTAAAGATTTCACCAATAGAAAAGAGAAAAGAATTGCTGAAATTGCTTAGCAACTTATGTAAGACAAGTCACAAAGACAATTGGAATGAGCACAGGGAAGGATAACGAGTGGCGATAATTAAAGCTGCCACCATATACACACACATGCAAACTCACACACATCTCTGTGTCCTTTAGGGAAGCTGATTAAGTCAACAGAGGAGCAGAGAAAGGGGTAATTATTAAACCAGTCATGTGGTGAACACTCTCCTCCACCCAGCTTCTCCCTCATGGTGAGAGAGCAAGGGAAGTCACATCATCACATTACTGCCGGGAAGCTTTGCTGTTCACACCTGGTCCGTGACCCTGTCCTCACCTCTCACTGTAGATGAACGGGGCTTCAAGACACCATGTATGTAGCTGGATGGTCTGGGGGTGGGGGTGGTTCCCAGTTGGGTTACTCTCAGCAACTCTGCCCCAGGTCTCGGGGTTGGCATGACACTGAATTTACTCTAGCCACTTGGTGCCAAGAAGCTCCGTGAGAAAAGAAGCATTTAACACAGTAAATCTGGACTTCTTATTCGTCAACCTCGTGATGATTATCGTTGCCCCAAAGGGCCAGGTTATGACTTATAGGACTTCCCCACCTTTCTTCTCTCTGTCATGCCTGGGAATATCTGTTAGACTGAACCAGGCAGTGTTCTGTTTCCTCACCATGCCAGAATTTGCAAACATCCTCAGCGTGTATACACATATATAATGTAATCTAACCTGTTTAAGGAGTATAAAACAATACATAACCTAGAAAAGGTCGGTAGCTGGTTAATGAAAGTAAGATGCCCTATTCCCCCTAACTCCAAGTTCTCAGCGTTTTAACTGTGCTTCACCTCACCACATTTACAGATGAAGGGAGCACTCCGGTCTAGAGCTTTGCCATGCCCCTACCCACAGGGACGACATTCATCCTCTTGCTGTGGCACTGTCATGAGCCCTAGCTGGGCACTCCAGTTTGCACTCTCCCGTGCTCCATAACCTCTATGTTTCCTCAGCTGGGTCCTGAGCTCCCTCGTTTACTCTGAAACCCATCAGTCACATGTAGAACTCCCCCAGCCTTGGCACAGGGGCAGGGAATCCCTCTGTTTTCACTCCCGGTGCTACTACCTCATGTACTCACTCTTTTTTCCTCCTTCATTTCCCCAAAGTGTTTTGGCAGAAATAATGCAAATCCAGGCCCAATCTGAGCACTCCCCTGACACCAGTACACCTTATCTTCTAGATCTGAGTTTCTTAACCTTGGCACTCATGACATTTTTGACTGGCTGGTTCTTTGTTGTGGGGTCTGTGCTGTGAATTGTGAGATGTTCAGCAGCATCCCTGGTCTCTACCTACCAAGTGCCAGCCGCAGCTCCCCTCCAGCTGTGGCAACCAGAAATGCTTGTAGAGTTTGCCAAATGTCCGCTGGGGCGTGTGTGTGTGTGTGAAATAGCTCCTAGTTAAAAGCCACTCTTCTAGATGGTACTTCTGCATGACCTCCTGATCACTCTTATGTACAAATTCCACTTAAATGACCACAGTGATTTAAATATCATTATTCATCACCTATAATTTAAAAGGGAAGTATTAAACCCATTTTTCAGGTGAGGAAATTGAGGTTCTATTTGCCAAATATTAACACAGCTAATAAGTGGTACTATCTGGATTTGAATAATTCTAACTACAACTCTCATGTTCTTTCTACTACTTAACAGTGCAAACCAGAGTATTATTTAACTATATATGTATATCTTAGTTTGGGCCACCTTGACAACCCACAGAATGGGTGGCTTAAAGAACAAAAATTTATTTTTCTTAGTTCTAGACGTTGGGAAGTCAAGGCACTGGCAGATTTGGTGTCTGGTGGGGGCCTACTTCCCGGTTCATAGATAGCTTGTATTCTGCCTTTGTTCTCACATGGCAGAAGGAGCAAGAAAGCTCTGTGGGGTCTCTTTTATAAGGGCACTAATCCTATTCATGAGGGCTCCACCCTCATGACCTAATCACCTCCCAAACACCCCACCTCCAAGTACTATCATAGCGGGGTTTAGGATTTCAACATATGAATTTGGGAGGGACACAAACCTTCAGTTCATAACAATATACATATAACACATGGAGCAGTAAAGCAACAAAGAAAAACATCAAAGATCTACATCAGTTCAGCTGTTATTACATTATTAAAATGCCAAATATCTTTTAGAGTAAATAATTTTCTTATAATTCTGCCTTCTAGTTAAATGGAAAGTAATTTATCTTTGAGGGTAATTAGATTCACAGAAGTTTTCTTTTCCCAACATATTGGGTCTCTCAGTTGAAGCTTTACATTACAGATTTCAAACTGATTGGTTCACGTAACTGAAAAATCCAGATATTATACTGACCTCAGGTAAGGCTTGATCCAGGTTTCAAACACTTTCACCGAAGACATTTTCCCCTCCATCTTTCAGCTGCTTTTCTTAATGCCAACTTCATTCTCAGCTTCTACACAGGAAATCAAGGCTCTCCCTTTATGGTAGTAGTTCAGGCTTCACAGCTTCATTTTATACCATCCAAAAAGAAGAGAGATTCTTTTGTGGTAGCCCAAGAGAAAAGAGAAAAAGGAATGGATTCTCTAAGCCCCAGAAAATATTTGGCTCTCACTGAGTCATATGCCCACCCCTGAACCAGTCGGTGCAGCCAGAAGGTTGGATGTGTAATTTGCTTTAGCTCCTCAAGGCTCAACTCTGGACTAGTTGTGGGGTCCATTCCCTTTAAATGAATAGAGCCAAAATTGAGAACCAGTGGTTCCTCAAGGGAAGTTAGGAATTTGTTTCCAGAAGATGGGGAAATGGTTGCTAGGGAGGACCAAGTGATACGCTTCTACACCAATTCTGTTACAACATGCCTGCTACAGTTAGTAGTTTTCATTATTTCACAACCCCCATCCCACCCAGTTCTATCACAGAGCTTTTGCCACAGACATGTTTCCTTTACCTGGCATTGCTGGAAACTCCTTGACAAGTGCCCAGGTGCCGTAAGTAGACAGTCTGGTGAACTGACACCCACAGAGCAGGTCTTAGCCTAGGACAGGGCCAGATCAGGGCTCTTGCTACTTGGCGAGGCCTCCCAGCCAGTCCCTATCATTCAATCACAACCTCTCTCTATCATGGGGACTCATTCCTCAAGCAAAGGAAAGGGACTTACTGTTTCTGAGCGCCAACTGTGTACTAAGCAAGTGCCACATGCTGTATCATGTCTTCCTACAGCCACCCTCTGCGGTAGGTATTAGTATCCCACTTTAAAGATGAGGAAACGGAAGCTCGGGGAGGTGAAGCAGCTTGTCCAAAGTCACACCCCCTATAAGAGGCAGAAAGTGGATTCACTGATACGTCTTTCATCCCAAAGCCTGTGCTTTTCATGAACCCTCAAGAAAATCAATGAATATGTATTTATTTAAAATCTATTGTTTATCAAGAAATATGCTCAACATTATTTACGTATGAGTAAATATAAAGCATTTCCCCTTTTCCCCAGGAATGAATGAATGGGAGCAGGAAAGAGAGAAAATAGGAAAGATCAAACCCTCGTGTAATGAGAAGATCCTTAGCCATCCCAGTGGTACACACAGTGCCTAGAAAACCAGCAACCAATGTGTAATAACAAGAGCATCTGAAGCAATGGTGAAGCAATTTCTCCAGCAGAAGTGCAGGGTGAGACTTCTTTAGGCAGTGACACGAGTCCCCAGAGAAATTAGCAGTGGCTGGGGCAGCCCTGCAGCAATGTGGGAATCAAAGCAGCATTTGAGAAAGAGGGCAAGTGGGCAGTATGGACGCCAGTCCCATCATAAAGTCTTTCAGCTCTGCCCCCAGATTGGTGCGCCCTAAGGGAATTCCTGCTAGAGAAAGGTGGTACAGCAATACGCAGGAAACATGGGTTTCGCTAAAATTCAAACTCTGCAGTCTGGAATAGAACAAACAGGAAGAGCAGTTGCTCATTCCTGGCTTAGCTTGAAAAGCTAACGTAGCTATAACATTTGTGTGTACTCTCCACCTGATAGGGTACTATGTGGATTTCTTTCAGCTCTGGCAAGAATATCGCTTTTAGCCACATCAAAATGCAACAAACTTTCTACCCAACTCAGTCTCTGTGTACCTTATACCTGTCATCCTAAACCCATGTAAAACTTGGACAGGTTGTGAGTTAAACTCATTCCTTCGCCCATGATTTGTAATACACAGCAGGATGACACAAAAACAGTCATTTTTCTCCATTATGTGTCTTAAGATTACGGGCAATTGTATATGACTTGGCTTGTTCTGCAGATAGCCTAGAGCAGGGGCCCTCAGATTGGGTTCTGTGGAGAACTAGGCCTCTGACAGAGGGTCTCAAAGATGGCAAGGGGTGGGACCAGGGGGAAGCCTGTGTGCTTCCTCCCTCCACCCCTTCCCCCTGGCACCTCCACTGCACCTGCTTCTAATATTGGAGCTCTACGTGAGATTGTGTCTGCGAATATTTCACAACTGACAGAGGTTTACAAGCCACAGTCCTAGAAGGAAACACCATATTTCTGCCTCTGAAATGTCTGAGTTATTCTCAGAATGACAGTTCCTAAAACAATATGGAAGTCAACAGCTCTGGAGGATGCCAGCTATTGGGGGCAAGTGTCTCCTGAATTTGCATGGGAACAAGTGGTTGGTATATAATAGTGCTGGGCATGACATCCAGAAAATAGAATTTCCAGAATTTTGTGAAGACCATCCATCATAGTCTGAGACACCTCCTTCCCCAATTATTAAATCCTTTTACTAATTCACCTTCGCCCAACAAGAACCTATAGTAAGTTCTAAGTAAAGCATCAGGGCCTTAAGCCCTTGAATTGTCCATCCCAACTGGTGGGGCAGTGAAAGGAGGCTACAGCCTATTTTCCACCCGACCTGCCACCTAGGAGTATTGGGAAATGCATTTAAGACACAGAGTGGGAAAATTCTGCAGTATTTTCTCAGCTCCTCTGAGAAATTACATGACGATTCTAAATTTTACTGGGTGTAAAATGAAACACCCAGTTCTGTCCACTTAAAGAAAATTATATATGAATATATGTGAAACATATACATATAATATCTAAATGTATATAACCAAACCAGTACTTCATCATTGCAGAAAAACAGGTAGTCAGTTTTTAGTTTGTATTTTTAAAATTTTTCAACAACTTACATGAGATGAAACCCCTCCCCGAATTCCTCTCCTGTTCCTCTTAATGTGTTGGAACCTGCAGCTTGGTATCTGGGTGTAAATCTCCCTCTGTCTTATGAGGATGAAATAACAAAGCCTCTCACCTCCTTAGAAGAGCTATTTTGAGGAATAATAAAAAGTTGCCATTGTGCTTTTAGCCTCTGACAATTGACAAATGTAAGAAGCTGGATAAAGGAGAAAGACTCTGCAAAAAGAATTTTCTCTACAAATCAGGTGGTAAATGTCTTTGCTATTGTTAATGGTTACACACTAACAAGGGTTAAAAGTGTTCTGCTAGGAAAATAGTGAGGATTCCAGCGCCATATCCAGGAAGATACAATCCACTATTGAATTTTGAGCATTTATTTTCGTTCATGGAGGGAAACATAATTAAAAGCTTCCATTTTGATGACTGAATTTTTTTTCCTTTCTCACTGAACCCAGAGTTACTGATGTTCAGGCTTCCGTCACTGAGTCTTTGAGGGAGTGTTTTACTTCTTCTTTACAAAGAGGGCATTCTGGTGGCAGTTTTACTTGGGAGAGAAAATACACTGTGGGCTCTTTCCAAGGGGCTGTAGACAGCCTAGGGCAGGCGTTTACAGACACCGTGGAGATGATCTGTGGGTGTAAAAGACTGTGTTAGCACATTGGGCCTGAATTTGTGCCTGTTGAAGAATCTGTCTTTTGGAGTCATTTGAGGAATGAATTTTACCAGCAATTCCTTCTTAAGTGAAAAGAATCATTGTCAATTCCTTTCAAGCACATGACATCTTTCATGTTTCTTTTGGGCCATTTGTGGAGTGAAATATTATCACTGCTCACATTGCTGCTTCCCAAAAATAGAGGGCCCTGCAGACAGATTTAACAAGGACCACGCCTCACCTGGCTGTGCAGCGCTGGTTGGCTCGTTCTGGCCACACACAGCCCACCCAAAGAAAGAGCCAGACCACAACCACAGAAGGATTCACCCACAAACTCCCAGATTTCCAGAACTTCTCATCCCAGTTGCAAAATTTGCCTGTGCAGCTGAACCTAAAGAGATGCAGACAGCTAGAAGTGAGCAGTAATAGAAAGGCTCACAGCATCAGTGGGAGTGAGATGCTTCTGGCACGACCTGTCACACCCTATGCTTGTTTACATGCTACATTCACCTTTGGACGCTTCATACAGCCCCACTTAACATGGTCCCCTCATTGTCCCCTGTACCTGTCTAGCCAAACCACATAATTTATAAGTGCCAAATAGTATAGATGATGATTATTAAGATGCTTTTATAAAAATGATAGACCCACTCCTGTTACACCAAACCAGATGCAAATCTTGGGGCTTGGAGGGTGTTTAGGATCAACGCATTTTTTGTAGCTGGGAAAGCTGAGGCCCAGAGGGAGAAAGTCACTTGTCCAGGGTCACACAGTAAGTTTAGTGAGAGAAGTGAGACCCAAACCCCATGGCGCCTACTCTCAGTTTAGTGTTCTTCCTCCAGGACCAACGAGACCACAGCTGCTTTTCATCTCTTACAATCTCATTTCCCAAGTCTACTCTCTGACCTGATGGGTCAAATGTTTGTACTACTGGGCAGGTGTCATGGTAGCTTTTTCTGAAAGTGAATTTCTTGGGAAAATTGTTGCTCATGTGGTAGAGCAATGTATTGGGATGCTTACCCTACACACACATATAGCCCTCCTCACCCCATTGCATTGTTCCAACACCAAGCAAGCAGCCAGGGGCTCCGTGTTCTTTGTTAATCGCAGAGGTATATGCCAGGGGAAAAAGAGCTGAAGCTACTTAAACTTACTGACTTCTCTTATCTTTTATCAAAGCTTATACTCCTTAAAGCGATTATGCTAGGAGACCTGGAGGGACTGGGAAGAAGGTGGGTCTTTGAGGGCCAGCAGACAGAGGGAGGAAGAGGATATTCCCCAAGACTAGAAAAGAGGAACAAAATGGATGGGTCTTTCAGCTAATAGGACATATATCCTGCTGGGTGGCAGAACTTCAGTGAGTTGGCAAGACCTCACAGGTGATGACCGCTTGGGACACCAAAGGAGGCTGGACCTTGGGCCCGGGGGTTCTGAGCCCAGCAGAGATGCCTGTGCCCCAACTGTGACACAGAAGCAGCAGAGCCCCTGGAGCTTAAAGGAACTATGTGAGCTGGATATTGTGAGCTTCAGGGCTACCCAGTATAGACGATCATCCCAAGGGCCTATCTGATACACTAAGATCCTGTAGGGGAGTCCTAGGAGTTACAACAAATAAATTTCCTGTGGCCCAGTGTGATGGTGGCTCAAACTCAGATATTGACTTTAAAAAAAAAAGATGGGATTCTTTTTTTTAACACCTTAGTTTATAGCCAAGACTTTTACCTCTACATTTGCATTTAAAATCTTATCAAAGCATGAGTATTACATTTGCCTCAACAACTGGAATCCTGGCAACATTATTTTCAGTGTGTGAAAAGACCCAACTTCAAAAGTAATGATTTGGGGCTTCCCTGGTGGCGCAGTGGTTGAGAGCCCGCCTGCCAATGCAGGGGACACGGGTTCGTGCCCCGGTCTGGGAGGATCCCACGTGCCGTGGAGCGGCTGGGCTCGTGAGCCATGGCCACTGAGCCTGCGTGTCCGGAGCCTGTGCTCCACAACAGGAGAGGCCACAACAGTGAGAGACCCGCGTACCGAAAAAAAAATAAAACAGGTAATGATTTGCCCCTGGAAAGGTTTATGGTGTGGTGGAGGTTTTGTCTGCCCTGTGAAGCCTTTCCTGACCAGACATACACTTCTCTGGGCTACTACTACTGTATCTTGTAAATGCATCTCTAACTGCACTTGACCCTCTGTGTGTGATTACTTGTGTATAGGACTATGTGTCCCTTCAAACCAGCACAAATGCAGGCATGTAAGAGACCATCAGTAAATCTATATTATGCTGCAGTCAGAGCTGTGGCTTTCCTATAGCATTTTCCCTCAAAAGAGTTTCAGAGTAAATTATGGGTCAGTAGCTCAGGCAACACATAATTTCATTTTGAGATTAAAAACAAAACACCC